ATTTAAATCTTTTGTGCAAAAAAAGAAACCATAAAAAACTAATTTTAAATCACAAACTAAACACAACAAAGGTTTACAACTTTTATCCAAAATGGGCTCTTAAAAATTCAAAAAAACTGGATAAAAAACAAGAATTAATACATAAGAAATATATAAGAAATTTACATAAGTATGTATTTACAAAATTATGTATTACATAATACATAAGAAATTTATAAGAAATATAAATAACTGATAGATATATGGAAAGATAAACAATTTATTTAAAAGTCACAGAAACAATTAAAAGAGTGAGCTATCTGTTTTGCCTCTTAGGTGAGGAAAAAGGAAAAGGCTGATTATTTCCAGCATAAGTTAATGAAGAATCTAGAACAACATGCACTATTGGTTGCAGAGCAAATTGTTACAAGACTTTTGGAAGGCAATGTGTACTAAAACGTAAAATGTGCTTCTCCCTAACCCACTGATTTCATTTATGAATTTATTCTAAGGAAATAACACCATTACGTAGAGGTATATTTTTAATGTTCATTACAGTATTGAGTTTTTAAAGATTTTATTTCTTTTTAGAGAGGAGAAAGGAGGGAAAAAGAGAGGAAGACAAACACTGATGTGAGAAAGAAACATCAGTTGGTCGGTTGCCTCTCCTGACCAACCAAACAAGCTAACATCTCAGGCCTGTGTCTGTGACCATTCGCTCTGCAGAGAGACTCCCAACCAACTGAGCCACACGGGTCAGCATTGCTTCTATTATCTACAAGACTTAAATAATAGAAATATATTCAAATTTGATATTGACTAATTCAGTACTGACATGTATTAGATGGGAAGATATCAATATTTTATATGAAAAATAGAAAAATAGATATGATTCTATTGTGATATATCAAATTTAAGATGCACATTTTTTCATATTTCTTAGTCAAAATGCATCTTATTATTGATAACATCTTACATTCAATGAAATGTTTACTTATGAATTTAATAACCTGAAAGTATTTATTCCAAATTAATATTCGTGGTGACTTGTGGAGAGTGGCTTTACTAAGAAGGCTTTTGTTTTCTACTCTGGTGTTGTTTCCATTTTTATAATTAGCTATATTTAAAATTTAATTCTATAAAAACAATAAAATTATTCCACTTGGCTGTTCTAAAATATTTTTAAATCCCAGGCAGAAAAATACTACAGAATAGTTCATCAATGCTCCAAAAACTATTTGTTTTTTTGGAAAAAGTTATTTTGATTTGTAATGGATGTCAAAAAAAACAGTGATTTCTTTTGTTTTTAAGGCATTTGACCAACCTTATGCGTGCACATTCTCATGAATTTCAGTGATATAAATTCCTTAACTTGGCTAAAAAGTAGACTTTGTTATATTTTCTTTCATCTACAAAAAATACTCTAAAGAACAGCTCCTTTTAAAAAAGAGTGCATATTAACAAGTAAACATACTACAGACTAAACAGCATTAAGTAAACACACTTTCATGAAGTACTTAGAAATTAAATATATCCCATTAGAGGGTTCAAATATATTGTTTCTCATAGAAGAAAAGTCTATGTATATGTGGGCTGAAAATAAATAATTACTTCTTACAAAGCAATCTTTAATAGAATTTTACATCAAGTAATGAATTTAAGAAGTGAAGTGGGGGTATAAACCTAGAGTTTAAAAAGAAATCTTTTTTCATAAGATAAAATATATGATAGATCATATTTTATTATAGAGGAGTAAAAAAACTACTGTTAAAGGAAAATATAATTGACTACAGGAAAATAAAATTTTCTATGCAGTATAAAATATCATAAGCAAAATTTCAAAGTAAAATATCAAGAAAAATTGTGACATATGTAACAGAGTCCTTTGCATACAAAAGGCTCTTACAAATAAGAAAAATTTAAGCACATCAACAGAAGAAAAAAGATATGAGCTCACAAAACAAAAAAGTATGACCAATAAATATATGAAAAGATGTTTTTTGCCTATCCAATTGGAAAATACTTTTAAAATATTGATAAAAATAATATTGACTAACAACCTAATTTTGGTGGTAGTGTGGAAGATACAGACATTCTAATTCCGTGTTTAGAGTGGTGTATATTGGTACACTTTTTCTGTACCACAATCTGGAAATAGTGTTCTTCCAATAAATATTTCTTGCATATGCATATATCTGGCACTGTTGTAAATGCTGAGAACATAGTAGAGAATAAAACAGACAAGAGAGAAGACAGAAAAATAATTGAACAAATAAATGAACAAAATAATTAAAAAATAGAATGTGCACTGGCTGGTGTGGCTCAGTGGATTGAGTGCGGGCCTGCGAACCAGAGGATCACAGTTCGACTCCCAGTCAGGGCACATGCCTGGGTTGCAGGCCAGATCCCAGCAGGGAATGCACGAGAGGCAACCATACGTTGCCTCTATGTTTGTCTTCCTCTCTCCTTCCCTTCCCCTCTAAAGATAAATAAATAAATAAATAAGAATTTTAAAAAAGTAGAATGTACCTCCCGTTGAACCATCAATTTCATTTCTACCAATCTGTTCTAAGAATATAATCAAACTAGTACATCAATGGTTGTTCAAAGATGTTATTTGCAGAATCATCTATAATAGCAAAAGTGTAAATACATACATGTTCTCTATTATGAGGTTGTTTAATCAAATTATGTTCTATCCATATAATGCAATATTATTGAACCTTTAATAATGATGACCTACCTTTATACATATTGGTTTGAAAGGCATTAAATATAAATTATATATATATAGTGAAAATGCAAGCAACAAAAAAAACTGGTCTAATTAAAATGCGTGTGTGTTCATCTAAAAGAAAATTTCTTTAAAATGTTTGTATCTGGATTTATGCATTTCTCTAGCACCTAAATTTCTTACAATGAATATACATTTTCTGAAAGAAAAACCATAGGTATCAATGTTTTCAAAGATATCCATGTAATATTTAAGGAGCTCACAAACCGTACAACACTACTATATTTGAAATTGCCGGCATTATGATACATGTCAGTCATATTTTCTTCAGATTAACTTCCCATAAGATTACTGCCTGGATATTGTTCTATATTAAAATTTTCATTAAGTCTTTTTGTTTAAACTTCCTTTAGGAATATCTTTTTTGTATACATGTCAACTTCACATCCTTCCAGACTACCTTTGTTTTTTTAACAGTTTTTTTGAAAGATTTTATTTATTTATTTATTTATTTTTAGAGAGAGGGGAAGGAGAAGAAGTGGGAAACATCAATGTGTGGTTGCCTCTTACTGTGCCCCCCTACTGGGGACCTGACCTGAAAGCCAGGCATGTGCCCTACTGGGAATGGAACCAGTATCCCTTTGGTTCACAGGCTAGCACTCAATCCACTGAGCCATACCAGCCAGGGCTAGATTATCTTTGTTTTGGAATGAAAATACTGTATGGATAAATACTTAATTGCTCAGCAAAATACCAAACACTTTAATCCACAGGCTCTGTGATTTTAGAATAATTATGAAAATGAATGGTTCTGCAGAGTTCATAAACACTAGAGGTGTCAAAAAATAACAATGAGTTACTAAAAAGCTCTGGAAAAATGTGTGACTTGTAGCATGTGATGGCATTGAAAATGAATCGGAGTACTTATATATGTGTGCATATGTGCATATATGTATCCTACATATCCATATGTGAGATTCATGTTTATGCTTACTGTGTGTACTTGCATTTAGGTAATCCAACCTATTAGGCATATGCTTTATTTATCTGCGTACCACCCCTAAGGCGACTCACATTTGCCTTTATGCTATATTCAGGAAACCAGCATCAACCCATCTGCAAAGGGCTGCAGTGTCGGGTCGGCTCCACTCTGCCTTGGAGATGGGCTATATCTGGCAAAGGTGCAGAGGAGAACCGAGAGGCAGGCCATGGCCCCGGGAAGTAAGCAGACTTAAGACTACTGAGGCACTTCAGCACCACGGACACGGGCAACCTCAACCACAGTCCCTTCCGGCGGAATAGCCAGCAGACAGCCCTCTCCCCAGGCGCCCCCTGCCCTCTCCTCCTAGTGCGTCACTAACTCGGGGCTCTCAGTTGTCAGTCGGAAATGGACTCTCTGTCCAGCTCCTCCGCAAGCCCAGCAAAAGCTAGGAAGGAGATGCAGATCGGCGCAGCGCCCCCACTCGCCCAAAGACTCTCCTTTCTGCTGGACAGCGCAACCGTTCCATCCACACCTCTCAAAACAAACCAAACCCGGGCACGTGGCGTAGAAATTCTATAGCGCCCTGAAGTGGGTCAGGGAGGCTTCGTGTGTTCTCCCGGGTCCTGGCGGAGGCTGAGTGGACTTGCCCTGTACCTCCCGCCACCACACTCGGCCATAGCCTTACCCTTCCTCCGCTACTCCTTGCTCTTGCGTTTTGCTGGAGAAAGATTTCTACAAACCGTTTATTCTCCATGAAAATCTCAACCCATATGGACCTGCGTTCAAGAATCGTAGACATGAGACAAGAGATTAAAGGAAAACACTATTCCTTGTCCATATTTCTAAAACCATCCAAGATTCTTAAAAGTTTGTATTTGAAATCAATCCCATTACTCCCCAGGGGTTCACCCTCATTTGGGTGAGCTTCTGGGCGAGAGGAAAGCGACAGCCCCTAGCCTTTATCATGGAGGCTGGTGAAGGAACTGTACAAGCCACGGTGGCCGGAACCGGGGTGCAGGGGCCATAGCTGATGCTGACTCAACCAACGCGGTGCCCAGGTTCTCCAAGATAGGAGCGCAGGGAAGTAGGGTCCCCGAAACCTGTCAGGCGTCGAGCAGAGCCCTCAGCGAAGGGCTGTGAAGTGGGCGAGGCGCTTTGCCCCCGGCCGACCCAACCCAAAAAGGACTCTTCCCCTATAGGTGCCAAGGCTAAAAGCAGGTGTGTGGGGTTCGCAGCACGTTCCTGCTCCTTCCGGGTGGGGCTGCCTGGCAGGCAGGGTCAAGGCCCCAGTCCGCTGCTGCTTACCGGCTCTCGGGGCTCGGTTACCTGCGTATCACAGCGAGTAAGGGGCGCCTGGTGCTCCGGCCTGTACTGCTTCCTGACCCGCACTTAAGTCCAACCTCCGAGCCTGCTGAGTCCTCCATGCACTACGCCAGGAAGACCGCGGCTAGGTAGCTGATGCTGCCAGGCGGGGCAGGGAGAGGGGCGCCACGGGAGCGGGCACTGCGCCTGCGCTCTCCGCTGTCCACCTCCCAATCCCCCCGATGGTGACAAAGTGGAAGACGCCACGGGGGAGGGGTGTGGGCAGGGGGCGGCGCCCAAGATTTGTGGCTGGACTGAGGAACTGCCCCCACCTGCGAGGTGGGATGGTCCAAAGCGCTTTACCCTACGTCCTCAGATAGAACAAGTTTGAAGCAATCGCGGATCATGGGGGTGACCTGGTCTTCAGGAAGGAGGCAGGGATGAAGCCTCGATTCATTTCCACCTGTCTGCGTTAAAAAGTTCCAAGTCAATCCTTGATATTTAAAAATGGCTAGCATCAGTATACTGTGGTCCAGAGAGCCCTTCAGACATCCCGGAGTCCATCTGGCAATTTACCAATGACGTCTCTGAGGGAAGGGTCTTGACACTGCAGAGCTGGGTCCTGGACTCCAGTCTCTTGGAAACAGACTTGGTCATCAAAGCAATGGACTAGATGGGTCAAGAGGACAGGTAGGAAGGCCATTGCCCTTAGCTAGGAAAGAAAGGGTGAGGCCTGAACCAGGTGAGAAAAGATAGGATGTGACTGCTGCTTTTTTTTTTTTTCCTGCCCCTCCAGATCCACTCCACCCTGCTCTGTGACTCAGGGCTGACCTTTACGGCCTACATAACTGTCCGCTGGCTTTCACTCAGTTTGGCCAATGGTAAACACCTGCAGAAGATCAAAGAGCGGGATAATATTCAGGACACCCACCTTCACCCTAAGAGGGCCACTCTTAGCCATAACTACATATTTTATCAGAAAGGCATTACTCCAATCCTGTGGCCCTCTCCTACAGCTCTCTCTTTGCCCTATTTACCCCTCATTGCCCTTGCCCTTTCAAGCCTGAGCTGATAATGACTCCCAGAAGTGTTCTTCAACTCTATCCATACATTTTAATTTTTTCAAATATTTTATTAATTTTTATTTTTAGAGAGAGGGAAAAGGCAGGAGAAAGAGAGGGAGAGGAACATCAGTGTGTGTTTGCCTCTCACATACCCCCTACTGGGGACCTGGCTGGCAACCCAGGTTCATGCCCTGACTGGGAATCAAACCCGTGACTCTTTAGTTCACAGGCCAGCACTCAATCTACTGAGCAACACCAGCCAGAGTGTGCCCCACCTTTTAAAATTGTTGCTTCACTAAATTCTCCTCAACTATCCCCTGGATGTGCCAAGCCATCTTTTTCCTACCATTCCAGGATACTATAATAGATCTTACTTCATTGGGGTCAGGAAGATTCATAAGAAAAAAATGTGTTAAAGAAAGATGGGGCTTTTAAAAGGTGATATATTTCCTAGAGTCATCATGACAGTTCCCTGGACAGCCATTATGCTAGGTGGTCTCCACACTGGGGGCACCAAAGACAGTATGAGTAGACTCAAGAATGAGGATTCAGACCACTCATAACCAATGTGTTCACAAAGGGGCTGGGAGTCGAGTGAGTTCCACATAATAGAACTTTGGATGACTCTTGATATGAAAAGACAATCTAGATCTTTATGGAACAAATGCTGGTACTCTTCCAACTGTAGCTGGGCTGCTTTTGAATGAGTCAATATTCTTAGGATATTTAACAAAGTCCCAGGCACAGTGTCTAAATGTATTTATGAAGGGGCTGCTGAGTGAGGCAATTGTCGATGAGTTTCCAGCCATTTCTGTAGAATGTTCCCAAGAGGAACTCAAAGAATGTTCCCAAAAGGAAGGAAATAAAAAGCAATAGAGTTAAATTGTCCGTAGCACTCATAACTAATTGGTTTGAATCCAGGACATGACCATTTCTCTGACTTGTATAAACACCCAAACCAGTTTAACTACTTTAATTCTTTCCCTACCCTCTCCAAAAAACACAAAACAAAACCCCGGGGCACTATCTTGGCAAAAATTACCCAAAGGGAACTCTAGTAGTAGCTGTTTGCAAACACAATTAATGTTCAAGCAAACACACTATTTGTACTGAATACAAATGAAACCAGAACAGAAAATTTACATGTGTTCTTTAGCTTTTCAACCTTGGAAGAAGAAAGATCCTTTGCACTTGCGAGGACAGCCTGGGCCTTAATTGTGTTGATCTAAATAAGGAGTAGAGGTACAGAAGCTAAAGGAACCTCAGAAGGCTAGACTGATCACCAAGGCTCAGATAGATTTTATGTTTCTCTTGGAGGAAGTGTGGAAGGAAAAGAGCCAGAAAAGCTTTGAAGATGGGAGTGATAAAAACAAAGATGTAAGCCCTGGCTGGTGTAGCTCAGTGGATTGAGCGCGGACCTGCGAACCAGACAATAGCGGTTCAATTCCCAGTCAGGGCACATACCGGGGTTGCAGGCTGGTTCCCTGCAGGCCAGTTCCCAGCAGGGGATGCATGAAAGGCAACCACACATTGATGTTTCTCTCCCTCTCTCCTTCCCTTCCCCTCTAAAGATAAATAAATTTAAAAATCTTTAAAAAAACAACAAAGATGTAGAGTAATCTGAGGATAGAAGAGAAGGCTTCTGGGAGATGTGAGAGAGTAAGACTAGGGCTTTAGCACAGCTACCATTCTGAATGACACTGAGAGATACTAAAAACAGAGTAAAGGATTTTTAGATGTTTTGTTACATGTAATAAATGGAATTCTTCCTTTGTGCTATAATACTGAGGAGTTTTTCTTGCCAAGTGCCCCAAACTCAAACTGACTCAACTGAAAAAATTCAAGGATAGATGTTTTCAGGTATGGCTGGATCCAGGGCACAATGTCATTGGGATATGGTCACTCCTTTCCTCTTTGTTGAGTTTGAAGAGTTTATTCTCATATAATAATTTCTTTCCATCTCCCCATCTCTCCCCAGTGTTCAATTTATATTATCCTTATAGTTAACCATTACAGTTGAAACAGAGCACTTAATTCTAAGCAGTTCAATAACACCTTGGGATTATGTCTCATTAGCAAATTCTGTATCTTATACCTAACCATATACTTTAGTCTGGGGACCAAATAATGGAGGATGGGTCATTCTCCAAAAGAAAATCAAGGTTTTGTTTTTTTTTTTAATCAGAAGAAACCATATAGTGATAGGTAGGTGATAAAAAAGGACATGTTCATTACAGGTACATCTCAAAGAAACTTTGGTTAAGATTTATATTTCTTTTGCCCAGGTGGGTGGTTCAGTTGGTGGGAGCATCACCTCATGGTGGGAACTGCTTCCCAAGGCGTGGAAATGTAACTCAGCACCCACGTGGAAAACCAGTGGGGAGTGAGTCCCCCCATAGGACCACATCCTCAAAGAAGTTCTCCTGTGGGAAATCAGGCCTGCATTGTACCTAGGCTGCTTTGTGCCTTGCTCTTGCTAAAACTCCCTCACCCTGAGTTCAGGCAGAAAATGTTTACTGCATATCTTTAAAGTAACTTCCTGAAGTCTGTGCTAATTCTCCCAAGGACTGAAGTGTAACCAGACCTGTTAACTCTTATCATTCCCTTGCATTTGCAACATTTTTTCCTTGTTAATCTGTAAAACATAATCAGTAACATCCCTTCCATTGCTATCTGTAAAAAGAAACTACCTAAAGCAAACCTAAGTATAATGAATGAAAACCTTATTTGTTGTATGCTATTAGAAAGCCAATAAAAGTCATGGCCAGGCCACTCTGAGGCGCTCTCCCCTTGAGAGAGTAGCCATGCCATCCCTTTTTCTCCACAGGATTTGGTAGTCCATGTGAATTTATCTTGTCTCATCCATAACATCGTGGACACTGTAGGCTGGTATGTGCACCAATTCCATCCACCAAAAAAGGTTGTGTTTTCAATTCCTGGTCAGGGCACATACCTAGGTTCATATTCAATCCCTGGTGTGGGCGAATGTGGGAGGCAATGGACTGATGTTTCTCTCTCACACTGATGTCTCTTTCTTTCTCTCTCTCTCTCTCCACCTTCTTTTCTCTCTAAAATCAGTGAAAACATATCCTAGGATGAGAATTTTTAAAAAAGATTTATATTGCTTTTCAATTTTTTAAAAATACTAGACTAGTGTTTCTTTTGATGATGATGTCATGTTGACATGAGCAGCAAGGCAGCTGAATTTTTTTCAATCTAAAAAATAAAGTGAAATATCTTGCTGTTCCTATAGAACATTTTTAAATATATTTTTTATTTTATTGATTATGGCATTACATTTGTTCTATTCCCCCCCTCCGTTCCCCTCCACCCTGCACACCCCTCTCCCACCATTCCCCCCTTTAGTTCATGAACACGTGTCTCAAGTTCTTTAGATTCTATATTTCCCCTACTATTCTTACCCTCCCCCTATCTATTTTCTATCTACTGTCTATGCTACTTATTTTCTTTACCTTCTCCCCCTTTCTCCTTCTCCCACTCCCCTGTTGCTAACCCTCCATGTGATCTTCATTTCTATGGTTCTGCTCCTGATCTAGCCGTCCTCTTAGTTTGCTTTTGTTTTAGGTGTGGTTGTTAATAACTGTGAGTTTGCTGTCCTTTCACTGTGCATATTTTTTTATCATCTTTTTCTTAGATAAGTCCCTTTAACATTTCATATAATAAGGGCTTGGTGATGATGAATTCCTTGAATTTGATCTTATCTGAGAAGCACTTTATCTGTCCTTCCATTCTAAATGAAAGTTTTGCTGGATAGAGCAATCTTGGTTGTAGGTCTTTGGATTTCATCACTTGGAGTACCTCTTTCCAGCCCCCTTTTTCCTGTAATGTCTCTTTTGAGAAATCTGCTGACAGTCTGCTGGGAACTCCTTTGTAGGTGACTGTCCCCTTATCTCTTGCTGCTTCTAGAATTCTCTCCTTCATTTTAATCTTGGCTAATATAATGATGATGTGCCTTGGTATGTTCCTTCTTGGATCCAACTTCTTTGGGATTCTCAGCTTCCTGGATTTCCTGGAAGTCTATTTCCTTTGCCAGATTGGGGAAATTCTCCTTTATTATTTGTTCCAATAAGTTTTCCACTGGTGGCTGTTTC